CACTTCTAATGACCTCTCAGCGCCTTCATGAAACCGGTTTGCAGTTCCGAGCTCTGTCGTCCGCAGTTGCGGAATGTAACCTGTATATCCAGGTATGGGTGGCTCAGTTGGTCCACGGGGACCTATTTTGCCCGCAGTTTTCTTCAAATAATCGTCAATCCACAAGTTCATATTGTCGCGTGCGCTGGGGTCGTCTCGAATCGGTTTTAATCTTGGGAACAAGCCACTCAATTCCTTCAAGTTTTGATTGTCCTTCTCATGTTTTTGATACTCTGTAACAAACTCATCCACACATTCTTCGCATAAATGCTTAAAGGTTCCACCAAACTTGTAAGGCATATGAGGGACGTCACCTGGAAAATAAAACCGATTAAAAGTCTAAGTACCAGTATATCCAGGAATCATGGTGTCCATGTATTTATTTTCTCCAGTGGCTTTAGGAATTTTGTCACGCGGAATTTCATCCTTGAAGACTTTTGGTGTTTTTGATATTTTGTCGTCGCCAATTCGAGGTTTTAAATATATCTCAGACTACCAAATCAAAAATTAGAGACAACTTACGGCGGTCGTTGGTCCCTTATAATACGGCAATTTCTTTAAAAACAAAGTTACAAGCAATTCCAAATGCATTACCGCTGCAATCTTGGCCGTTTGTATTCCATATGTTAGCCCATGAACAAATTTGAACTGTGGACAGTAGCCCATATACCTGTACAATAAATGACGACGAAATGGCATCTTCTTACCCGGGAATATGGGCGCCCTGGGGCAGATTACAAAAATCCTGTCGCTGTTTAGCCGTAGGGCCACCTCCATACTCAATAGCCGTCATCCCGTTCCTTTTAAAACTGACGTCCTTTTCGTAAGTTTGGCATTGCGCTTTCCGTGAAACATTAAAACAAATAGAATTTGTAGTAGTATATTTCGAATTGTCGCAAATAAGCCATAAGTGAGCGCAAAAAATTATTAACGGATGCAGAATTGTTGAATATACTGCTGCACTTCTACCAGAACCAGTGAAAGTATCGAGTCTGGATTACGTATATACTGCTTAACGAAAATATTAAATCTATGTGGGCAGATAGAAGTGGCAAAAACAGATGACACTAAATCAAAACCTCTACCATAGGAAGAAGAAATAAATCCAGAGTAGAAAACAGATAAACTTGATTGAATACGGAAAAAGCGATGCAAGACCAAAACGCTGATTAAATGAAGAAACAGGTCTAAAAGCGCATCAAGAAGATAATCAGCTAGGAAGCAAGCAAATTTTACTTACTATTAAGTGAAAAAAATAAGCGTCTATTGGACAGGGCGCTTATATTTTCTGTGGTCTTTAAGTATTACAACCTAAAGTGCAGGCTTACAGGGTTAATGTTACTCAAATTTATGCCATCTTATGCCTCCGTGAGTATCCTTGAGCTGCCACTGTTTCATGTCTCTGGTGATGAATCCGCGATGGATGTCGAAACGTCAGGCAAATAAACTTATTGTCCCAGCGATCGAATGTTCTTCTCTATCCTTGAGTTGCCTGTGGCTATGAGACGATGTATATAGAAAGAACCTTCAATTAATTGCCAACAGAATGAGAAGAATTTTATCTCCAACGTATGCTAACACTAGAGGATTGAGCAGCCTTTTTATTTGCCGTCAAAACCGGACACCTGATTGCAATGAGAACAAACCGTTCATACAAAACTCTTCTGTGCTTGTTTTTTTCGACAGTCCATGTCTCCGCTACATACAACAACATCATACACCTTAAGTTTGTGGGCTCTTGGCCCTACTTATGTGTTGTTTAAATTTATCAATAAC